TTACCTACATGCATATGCTCACATAGGTGGATCTAGATCCAGAAAACTGGCTCCACCAACTTGCACAAACATTGGCGACACCTGGCGGTAGCGGGCAAGCTTTTTACACGGAAAATTTAAATAATATCTGATAGCTTTAGACAAGTCATCTCGTCTAATTGAAAAAAAGTAGTGTTGCGAAAGTCGCTAAAAATTGATCTTCTGCTTGAAACTACTCTCATATGAATTTCCTTTCTGAAATGTAAGTACCAGGGGGACTCTATCCCTATCAACCACATATAGATGCACTAAAGCTCACATGAACTTGCCATTTTTGCGAAAACTGACAGTGGTAAAACTGACGGAGGTATGACAGTACAGAACAGCTTACTCTTTCACACTTGCATCGCAGTGCGAAATGCTAGAAAGAGCAAACTAATGCAGTCATACTCACCCACTATATTCATCACATTGATGTGAGCTCCGCCGAAATTCGTTATTGTTTCCCACGTGGTACCAAAGAAAAATATAATAAAACATCGAAATTACAAAGATTTTTACCACAGACAAACAGACATAACACTCGCAAGTTTTTCATCGAACAAGCATTTAACGGACAATTTAAAAGTATCGTAGTTGGTAGTACCGCTACCTGTGGCGCGCATAGTCAATTCCCTTGTGTTTGACGTTTACACACTACCGCCATCTGTTCAGTGTAGTGTCCACCACAGTGTACTCAACAGATGGCGGTAATGTTTTAGCGACGATGTTTTGCAGGGAGAAATATTCAATGAGTTATGTCTGTTTGTCTGTGTTTTTACTGTTTAATTTCGAGTACACTAAAATGTATTGTTAAATTGCTGTACGGAAGAAAACGTTATTTTCGATTTTTAACGACACAAAGCTCAAACCATGAAAATTAGTGTGACGAGATCAAATTTGTTCGAGAAAAAACAGTTTTTTTTTTATTGTCAAGATGCTTAACAACCCCCCTTTTTTGCTGTTGATAATAATAAAAATAATAATTTATTTGGATCTCGGGCATAATTTTTGATACATTTGAATTTACATTTTTTCCTTAGTCCGGCCGTTCTCAAGTTAATGCGAAATTAAATAATAATAATTGTGAACTTTCAACATTTTTGACCATTTTCAAACGTAAGTCGCGGCGTCGTGTTTTCCATGATTTTATATTAAATAACATACAATTAATTCTCAGATATGGTGGCTGTCAGACTTGCACGTTTCTATCTAAAGGCAGCGAAAGTGAAAATACTTATAGTGGTAAGATCCAATCGGTATTATCGTCGGATTTAATCCTGATCAAGAATGTCCGGTTGCATTGATGTTGACATCAGATTTAATCAACACGACGCTAAGCAAACATTTTGAAGATCATTCAAGTAGGGACGGAATTGAAAGATATTCCGAGTTTAAGCTTACCGCCATTAATTACCTATTACTTATTCTCAGAAATTATATTGATCTAATCAATCCCTTTCATGTTATGATTTTTTGCTAAAATATAATTTATTTTTTAACACGCCATTTTCAAAAGCTACTATTGAGAAAAAATAATATTTATTTTAGATGAAAAACTCAACCATTGGTTGAAGCAAACATGTGGGTAATGTTACATTCAAAACGGAAGGGGTCGAGGCAAAACTGACATTTTTTCAGTGTTTAACAGTTTCATTGTGTTACGCTCATAAAATTCGACACATTTTTATTGGTGAATTTCCATGTAGAATTCCACATGATTTTCATGTGTCCACACATAAACAGAATCCACTCAGAAGTACACATGAAATTTATGAGTCAAATGAATAGTATGTGTGGTTACACATGAATGTTAGATGTACAAATAACCCAACAAACAATTTGTGCTAATTAAAAGCTGAAGAAGGTATTTTTTAGCTGAAGAAGCATATTTTTACCTGAAGAAGCTGTTATCCTGCTTCCAATGTTTGTTGGGAAGAAGCATGTGTCCAACACATAAATATCATTTGTTTATCACATTGCAAAAAATCATGTGTGGGACACATAAAAATAATTATTGAAATTTTGTTTATTAGTTTACGTGTCCTAGAAGCTGATATGTGTGCACTTAAAGTTTCGAAGTGGTTACTAGAATAAAAATCTCACAGCGAAACACCACGTGTAAAACGCGTTTGAGAAAAATGCAAATTCAGCGCGGTATTTCAAATTTACGGAATCCTATAATAATTTTGAATTTTCGAAACTTTTAAATAAGCGACTAAAATGCCTTGAAGCTGCATGAAATCAAATCTGGCATTCCTGCTTACTCGTCTAAAACATCAAGCAAAACAAGCACAAACACAGCTCGGCAGCATGAATTTGTCATCTCCTTTTTTCTTTTACCGTTTATGTTATAGCGAGAATGACGTCAAGTTTGAAGTTTTATTGAAAAGAGAAGGAACGAAAAGACAGCAATTTTGCAACACCGGACCTTTTATTCGTTCTCAAAGGTGGTGTTGACGCGTCGCACAGTGGTGAAATCAATTCATTCAGCTGCTATGTTTCCTACTTTTAAATTTTCGTCAAAATGAGCGTTTTAAAGATTTTTTAAATTTATTTTGACAATGCTTTATTAGGAGACTTATCCATATTTACAACACTTCAATGTATTCCTAATTTTTTTAAAACAAATATTGAAAGTTTTGAAATTATAACCGTATATAATTGATTACACCCATTGTGCCCTTGAATGCGCTCAGCTGGCTGAACTGGTCTAACTCAGTAGTAAACAGAAACAAAACCGTGTTGGGAAAAAAAGTTTGTGCGGTGTTAAGTGGCAACAATTCATCTGATACACGTTTTACGATGCCGGAAAAAGGTAATTATATCGAATGTATTTAAATAGATTGTACTCACATGTATATTTATTTCAAGGTCAGTGCAAACAAGCCGTATTGGTTAAAATTTTGCGACCCAAACAAAACCATTGATGAGAAGGAGGGAGCTTGTTTTGTTTGCTCTGATCAATTTGATTCTGTGGATTTTATCAATGTTTCCTTATCGAGAGTAAGTTTTCATATATTTTTTAGTGATTTTATTACCACCATACACCCAAATCAGTGTTTATAAACACACAAATAAAATTCGCCGATCGATGGCGCAGAAAACATACATACGATACAGTTGAAACCCGGTAATGTGCAAATAAATTATTGATAAAATATGTGCAAATTATTCTCCATTAGTTAGTGGGTTTTTTCAATCTTTAAAAAGGGAGGGGGAGGGCGATACCTTAACGTAATTTTAGAGGGGTCCTGTAAAGTGTTACTTATTATAACATAGGGGGCAGGGTGCTCAAAATCTGGAATTTTTGCATTATGTTGGTGAATCTATACGTTTACGTTCAAAATACAACGTTTTTTCTACGATGCTTGTATCATCTTCCAAGCAAGAGATTCTTCGGCACAAATTGGTTTAATAAAATTAAAAAAAAACTCACCGCTAAACGGTTCTTTCAAAATACTAGAGTATACCTGTACCAATTTGACAGCAACGGTTAGACGAGTTTACGTACTTTTTTAGACGAGTTTATCGTCATCTGACACACTCAAATTTGAAAATGATTGAAACGTGTGCTATATTCGGAGACCGCGAGAAAGTTGCTAGGTGCCTGATCTTGATAAAAAAAAATGTACTAAGTTCCCCTTCTGTTCTGTGATATGCTGCTTCCCCAGCACAGTCGTCAGAGAGTAGTAAGTAGACAAAACAAGTCAAAGTGGCATTCGCCTCCGATCCTCGGACGCGTGCGAATAGGGAGGATGGAATTGCGTAATATTTTGCACACTCATCGCCATACTCAGAACCAAACGCAAATTCTTCAAGATAACCACCATCCGTCATCTGGCGCGCCGTGGTGGTGTCTGACGTATCTCCGGTCTGATTTACGAGGTGTGCTGAAGGTGTTCCTGAAAAAATGAGATCCGTGATGCTGTCACCTACACTAAACATGACAAGCGTAAGCGGCCATGGATGTCAACTACGTTTTGAAGTGACAGAGACGCACTCTGTTTGGTTTCGGGGGTTAAATCATCACCAACTTTGGCAACAAAACGGCTCTTTTCAGGGCCACCAAGCTTATTACAGTAAAGAGTAGGAATAGAATTCATCTGTCTGTTTGTCCGTATTCAGAACCAACGACCACTCAAAATGCTCATGTAATAAAACTGGAAGCAGGGATACACATTATTTTGATCAACCTTGATCAACTTTGAATCACCACGGCCGGATATTTTCGATGGAAGAAGCAACAATCTAGCATCTAATTCGACGAAGACGGCAGGAAACATTTGTGAAGCCGAGTTATTTACGAAAGAGAGTGTCGATGAAGAGAATCGATCAATGTAGATAGGACCTATTGAAAAGTGACGGGAGATTTGTTTTCCGTACTGAGCTCCCAGAGATGTTATGCCTTAGAACATGCCGGTGGCGCCGACTGAGATTGGACCCAGGCCTGCTGGGGTGAGAGGTAATCACGCTAACCACCGGCGCCGATATCTATCACGGCGAATGAGAACGACCCAAATTTGAGTTTAGTTATCTCAGAAATAAGAAATAAAGTGCAGGAACGCAGCGATGAGTAAATGTGCCACATGTTTTCCAGGAAAAAATTCCCGAATTTGAGAAAAGTAAAAATTGGATTCACTCAGTCTTTTGGTACTCAGCGACTGAATAAAATTTTCGTCAATTTCCTCATTTTCTTGCAGATTTTTGAGGTGTTCCACAGGAAACCATGAGACAAATATACTCATCGTTGAGTTCCTACACTTTTGGCGATTATGGGTGAACTAATCTCAAATTTGGGTCGTTCTCATTCGCCGTGTACGCAAAAAGAAAAGAGCCAGTGTCGCTACTTGATAGCAAACTACTCATAATGGGAGGAGTCTTTGTAGCTTTTCTACCACTTGGTTGCACATCATTCTGCTTTAACCTAAAAAGATATAAAGCAGCGCTGCTATCTAATTGCACTTGCCAATAAAAAAAGCATGGTACGCAAGCGTACTACTGCTCCTGCATCGGAGGGCCCTAGCAAGAAGGCCCAAACGGATCCCAGCGCTGCTTCGGATGACGCAGCAAATCGGCTGCTACAGAGCAACCAATTCTTGGTGCTCGGAGTAGAAAATGGCGGTGGTGACGCCGCTGAAATTACGAAAAAGGAGCGGATTCCCCCGCTGTTTACTCCGATGAAGGACGTCACCCAGCTTAGGGATGAGCTGGCAAAACGCAAATTGTTCCCGCGATTCAAAATCTGTAGCGTTGGAACAAAGATCATGTGCTCCAGCCTAAAGCAGTACAAGTCGGTCGGTGACCTGCTGAAGAACAGCACAGTGGAGTTTTACACTCATGATTTGCCTTCGATGAAACCATTGAACGTTGTTCTACGAGGTCTGCCGTCGTACGAAGCGGCTACAGTAAAATATGAGCTGGTGAGGCTCGGATTGAAACCAGAGGCAGTCAACCCAATGAATCGACGGCCTATGCCCAATACCAATTATCGTGACCAACTGTTTCTGATCCACCTCACGAAGGGCTCCACCACCCTTGTTGCGCTCAAGAGCAACATACGTGACCTGTTTCAGGTCATTATCGACTGGAAATACTACAAGCCGCAACACCGTGATGTGACCCAATGCACAAGTTGCCTCTCCTTCGGCCATGGCACGAAGAACTGTCATATGAAACCACGCTGCGACAAATGAGCTATGGCCCACTCGACGGCGACCTGTGCTCAATCTGATGACACCGACCCGAAGTGCGTGAATTGCGGCGGAACTCACCGTGCCACTACTCGGGACTGTCCCAAGCGAACGGAATTCATCACCATGAGGAAGAAGGTGGCTACTAGCAACCAGCCAGGCCGGCATCGAAATAAACGTGCACCACCAGCCATCACGGACGAACAATACCCGGCAATCCATCCTCGTCGTCTGGTCCCAAATCTTCCACCGCTACCTCTCAACAACAGTCAACGAGCCGCCCCCTCAGCTCAGCATCGCCTCACTGCTGCTGCAGCTCTGCCAAATCAAGCTTCTGCCTCGGCACCTGGACTATCGTATGCCCGTGTTGCCTCAGGTGACTCAGTTGACGAATCTCCGTTAACATCAGAGGATCTAGTAATCATCATCATGCGCACCTGCAAGACTCGATCTGAACAGCTTCATGCTGCCTTGTCACTCGTCACCAAGTATGGACCGTGAAGCTATAAAAATTGCAAATGGGAACGCTTGCTCACTGACGAACAAGCATAGAGAGCTACTCGATTTCCTCAACACCAAGGAGGTCGACATTGCTATCATCACCGAGACGCATCTGAAGCCCGAACTGAACGTATTCCTTCCCGACTTCCGGCTCGTCAGACTTGATCGCACCTGCTCTGGAGGTAGAGGAGTGGCCATCGCTGCAAGACGGATCATCAGTTGCCGACTGCTACCAAACTTCCAGCTGAAAACAATTGAAGCCATCGGAGTGGAGGTGAGCACATCACTTGGCCCAATCACCATCATCGCGGCCTACTGCCCCAAGCAAACCAACATCAGGAACGGATCGTCAGTGGCCCTCCGCAAAGACATCATCAAACTCATCCGGAGGAGCGGGAACTTCATCATCGCTGGCGATCTGAATGCAAAACACCAAGCTTGGGGCAACGGTCGGAGCAATAGAAACGGCATCATCCTCAATGAAGACCTGCAAGAGGGTCACTATACCATCTTGGCCCCGGACTCTCCCACCCGGTTGAGTCGGTCTGGGGTCCATGCGACCATCGACGTATTCGTAAGCAACTTGGGACACAACGTCTCGCAACCTGTGGCATTCCAGGAGCTGAGCTCGGACCACTACCCGGTGGTGGCCGAACTTGGATTCTCGGTAAACCGATTCGAAGCTTCCCAGCGCAACTACTATCGAGTCAACTGGGCGCAATATCAACACTGCGTCGACACAACCATCGACTACGATGTCCAACCGGGGACGTCGGAAGATGTTGACCGGTGTCTACAAACTATCGAGGAGGCGATTTCCCGGGCCAGTATCCAGACAGGTGAGTAACACTCTGAACCTTGACAGCCCTACCAAAGATCTCATTAGACTCCGTAGCACCATTCGTAGGCAGTACCAGCGTACTGGCCTGCCTAACTTGAAGACCAATTGTAATCGATTAACGAAGATCATTCAGGCCAGGATGGTGGATCTCAGAAATAACGATTTTGCTAGAAAGATCCGAAGAAATTCTTAAAAACAAGCCTAGGCCCATTTCCCCACTGACCCCACTGGATCGTCCCGGTGACCCAGTGGTTCATCTGATAACTCCTGAAGAGAAGGCTGCCGCGATAGGTAAACACTTCGTCAGCTCCCGTAATCTCGGAAAAAACATCGTCAGCCCTCATGAATCTGAGGTTGCTGAAAATGCAACCAATCTTCTTCAGATTCCTAACATTTTTCCAGAGGAATCCGAGATTACGGCTGACGAACTGTTGGCCTATATCAAATCATCTAAAAACATTAAGGCCCCAGGTTTCGACAACATCCTGAATCTGGAACTCAAACACTTGAGTTCCAGATTCTACAACCATCTGGCACTGACTTGGCTACTTTCCCTCGTGTTGGAAGTCAGCTAAAGTCGTACCCATCCGGAAACCTGGAAAGGATCCGTCCTCTCCTTCAAGTTATCGACCAATCAGCCTTCTCTCAGGGTTATCAAAACTGTTCGAAAGAGCACTGTACCACCGGCTTCTAACATCTGTCGATGAAAACAACTTGTTACTCGAGGAACAGTTTGGTTTTCGGAAAGGTCGTTCGACCGTCCACCAGCTGACTCGAGTGACAAACATTCTCAGACGGAACAAGTCTGTTTCGAAAACATCTGCCATGGCGTTGTTGGACGTTGAAAAAGCGTTCGACAATGTCTGGCATGATGGCCTGGTGTTCAAATTGCAGCAGTACGGTCTTCCAATCTTTCTAGTGAAGATAATAAACAACTATCTATCAGACAGGACGTTCCGAGTCTCTCTGAATGGCATCACATCGGATGCTTTCAACATCGGTTCCGGGGTTCCACAAGGAAGCATCCTTGGCCCCCTCCTATTCAACCTGTTCACCTCCAATATGCCGGCTCTCCCTGATGGTGGATCGTTGTCTCTGTTTGCAGATGACACATCCATCGTCTACAAGGGTGGGTCATCGGAGCTCTGACTGCCAAACTTCAGAGAGGCCTGGACGACCTGTCTGAAGATCCGTATCAACGCGGCAAAGACCCGGGTCATTATCTTTCCACACTCTAAATCTCCTAGACTTGTTCCGTCGGAGAATAACAAGATCTGCCTGAACGGCACAGTGGTGGAATGGTCCAAAGAGGTCGTGTACCTCGGGCTAACACTAGGCAGCAAGCTTCTTTTCAGGGAGCACGTTGACAAAAAAAAAAATCAAGTGCAACATCTTGATAAGATCGTTGTATCCACTTATCAACAGGAAGTCAACCCTGTCCCTGAAAAATAAGCTTGCTGTCTACAAACAAATCATCCTTCCTGTAATCGAGTACGGTATACCAATCTGGGAGAGTTGCGCAAAATGCCATCACCTTAAACTCCAAAGGATCCAGAACAAGATCGTTAGGATGGTCCTAAACAGTCCCCCGCGGACTAGAAATTCTGAGATCCACCTCCTGGCTGGAATTCAGACATTAGAAGAACGGAGAGTATTCATCCTGGAAAGGTTCAGAGACACCTGTCTGAGATCAAATCATCAGATTATACGTGATCTAGCACGTTAGGTTAAGTTATACTCGTAGCTAGGTAGGTTATCACTTTTTTCAATTCAAATAAAACACATCCTCAAAAGGATATTCTGTAAACTAGTTGAAAAACGCAAATATTAAATTAGAATATCAAATTAAACAAAGATGAAGAGCCAAGTAGGCTAATCAATTAAAATGATAAATCAATGCACTACCATAATCAACAGAAATAAACATAATTTTTAATGGCTGGTATCAGCTCATTTTCACTTCGGACGTCGTGGTCAGTAATAGCAGCAGTAGGAAGGTGGTTAGTCAACTTTTCTATAACCCATCAAGCAACAATTGACTGGTCGTGGCAAAGGAGGTGCCAATCGTCATCGCAAATTCTTCCAGATAACCACCATCCGTCGCCTGGCTCGCCGTGGCGGTGTCTGACGTATCTCCGGTCTGATCTACGAGGTGTGCTGAAGGTGTTCCTGGAAAATGAGGTCCGTGATGCTGTCACCTACACTTAAACACGCCAAGCGTAAGTGGCCATGGATGTCCTCTTCAATAAAACGGCCCTTTTCAGGGCCATCAAGCTTCTTTGGTTTGTTTTTTTCTGTCGATCTTGTTTTCCGTGCTGAGCACCAATGCTACTGACGTGCCAGGAAGGCAGTTCCCACACCTGGACCCTACCTATCGACCCATCAACTCATGAACTGGGGACCAACGGCTTTACTTCCCATCCGAAGGAAGGCGTGATCAGAGATGTTATGCCTCAGAACATCCCGGCGGCGCCGACTGGGATTGAACCCAGGCCTGCTGGGGTGAGAAGTAATCACGCTTACCACTACACCACCGGCGCCGTTGGGGCCATCAAGCTTACATCAGTAAAGAGTAGGAATAGAATTTATCTGTCCATATTCAGAAACGCAAAGCTGCCAACGACCACACAAACTTGGAAGCAGGGGTGCAAGTGATTTTGATTGATTCTCGTTATCAACTTGCTCTTTGAAAAAGATTACTACAAATTTGGTACGCCTACAATTCAAAAACGGAAAGAGTTGAGATAATAGATAATTGATCAATTAAAAGAACTTAAATGCTCTTTACATTTATTCCGTCCTCTAGCGGTCCTGCGTCAAGCTTCCGTTCGTGCCCCTAGGCACAGACCCTTCTACTTTTTTTTCTGATTTTTGAAGTATGCAATTTGAAATCACACGGTCAACAATACGGACGATAAACAAATTTGCCTGAATACAGATTTGAGTGTAGTCAACGCAAAAAAATAAAGATTTAATTCAATCATGAAATGACGAGATTGGAGCAACAGGGGAACGGAACCTGTTGGAGATCAATAAGCCATGAAGCGACATCGGAGAAAATTTTCATTCCCCTAACAACCACTGTTAATTGAAGATCAATAAAAAATTTGTTACCCCGTTAATTTGACTGTGTGTTTGATTCCTCTACACAGTTTGATAAGAAACTGTGTCCAAGAGTTCAAGACCAAGCGTGTGAAGAAGATTCCGTTCCGTCTTCAGGTGAGCGAACTGTCGGCGTGAGTCCGAACCAGCCGCCTGAAACATTGGTCCTTGGAAAACCAACTTCCAGTTTATATGGAAGAACGCCTGCATCGGCCTAAACGTTGTAACGCAGGTACAGTCCCAAAAAACCTCGAAAACTACTATTACCAAATTCCAAACCTAGAACGAAAAGACACAATGCAACGTACTCCGGTCAGACAAAATGTGTTATCTGAGGAGTCTCGTCGTGTCACTGATTCTGTTAGGAACGAGCAAAACGAAGCCGGTAATGTTAATTCGGCCCCATAATCATTAAGAAGTTGCGTTTCGGTTAGTGGCGCTAGCGAACGATCGCATAGAAGCAGGATGTCAGCAGCTAGCAAAGCGCTAAGTCAAATTAGAGCATTGGAACTTGAAGAAGAGGAACTGCGTGCCTCTTAAGAGCAAGATAAAATTCTGG